TTCAAAATAAATTGTATGACTAATTAATTTTATGCATTTGAATTGAATAGGGTAAGTCAGACTTGAAATATTTCAATAGAATAGAAAATCTGTTGGAAACTGTAGATGGTTCCACAAGAACAGACTAGACTAACTGTAGCTTCAATTTTCAGTATTTATTTCAAAAGAAAAGTAGAAGTTTAGCCCAAGTAAATGAAATTAGAAAGTTTAAATCTCCATCTTAAAAAATGGAAACCAATAGTTACAGTTGTGGCGTTGACAATGAAGTACTAACAATCTGAGCACTCCGGTTAGTTCTTTGGCTGTTGATTAGGATTCTGTGGTGGTGATTAGTGAGTGTGAGGATGCAATCACATCTGTAGCGTTTAATCAGTCCAGTGTTGGAGAAGTTAGTCCAAAGATGGAGAGAGAAACTAGAACTTCTATACAGAATCTTAGTAGGGTTTTTCCTCATACTGCAAAAAAGATGAAGGGTAAAAACCAGAGAAGCCTACTTCCCACCTACACCACCCCCCCACCCCAATTTGCAGAGTTTGTAGATGATGGTCCTGATTTTTCTAGTTCCATGATGCAGGAGTATCATGTTGTTGACACCTGTGAAGGGGAGAGAGTTGCATGGTGGTACTCACATATGCACCCTCTCTGAGGTGTTCAGTATTTCATTCTTACACTTGTGAGCAGTATTTGCTTTTTCCATACTGTGCAACCATGTATATGGTTTTCTTTTTTGTAAATGGAGTATTTTAAGTGTTTATCTTGGACAATAAGGTACTTTGGTGTGCTTTATTTTCTTCTGTTATATATTCTGATTATATGCTGTCTTTTTAACATTTAAACCATTTATCTTGAAAAAAATATTTACAAATATGAACATTTTGCCCTCTGCACTCCTGTGGAGCTGGTAAGTGAAATGTTTACATGTGTAGAAACAAAGAACTGCAGTGGGTGCCCTTGTCTGCAAAAGAAACCCCAAAAGGAAAAACTTCTGGATCTCTGCTTGACACATAGGTTCTCTGTGACCTTTCTGACTCTGGCTTTGAGTAAAGGTGACCACGTGCTGAATCCCCCTTTAGAACCGTCTCCACCGGTACATTCTTAACTTGGAGGAGAAATGCTGCTGTTATTGCCTGGCAGTGCAAGCAGTCCTCCCTCCCATTGCTGCCCTCCAGTTCACTGGTGCTGCTATCACGCCCGTTCTCTTTACTGCGTAGAGCTCAGTTTGTGTAAATAGCATTGCCCACACCAGTGCATATTTGTATGCTGTTTTGTTTGCATTAATTTCTTCCACATTATCATTTAATGATTGGTTTCTTTATTCACACTTCTGTTTGATTTTTATTTTTTTGCTACATTATTTTCCAGTAGCACCTATAGATCTGTACTCTGCTGTCATATATTCACATAAGGAGAAGGTTGTTCTACCCTACAAAGCTTATAATCTAACAGCAGCAATTGTGTTTTAAAGGAATGTTTTCTGGCAGCATGTTGCTATGCAGATTATAATGTTTTGTTTTAATGGCAGGGGCTGTCCATTTCATGTATATTTATACAGTGCCTAATAGAATAGGTGTGAGTGAGCTTTGAAGTGTCTCAGCAAAAATAACTAATGACAAACAGTGGTAGAGACTTATGTGAACCTGTGGAAGGGTTAGGAAATTCTTGTGGCTGTTTTGTTTTTGTTTAGAACATGGGCTTTAAATGGTTGAATTACCTTCCTGAACTGAGCATTGGTCTAGAGAGGCCAACAAAAAAAAAAGAGGAGGGGGGAGAGGCGGGGGGGAGAAACAGACTTGGAGGTCCAAGTCAGTGGTTCTTGAGACAGTAATGGATGAAAAATATGATAGAGATTCAAAGTAAAATATAAACCAAAATTTGACTGAGAATGCTGGTTTGAAAAATAGGAGACGGAACTGTATTTGAAAGATAGGACAGAATTAAGCCCAAACCTCCCCCCCTCAAACCAAAACTGGAAATTAATTAGGAACATCCAAGGAACAGGATAGTAAAATGCCAAATATTTTCCAAAGGACTAAGTATGTTCCCCCAACTTGACTGCCCCCTACTTCTATGCTTACATCGTGTATTTCAGAAAACCGCTGTATATCAGAGTTCTGGTTTTCCATTTTGTTTATGTTTGCTTCAGTTGACTTTCACCTCCTAAGGAAGCAAAAAATCAGTAGGACTATAACAACTGTATTTTATGTTGCTCTGAATCAGATGCCTTTCTGGCTGGAAGGTCCTACAGCCCAGAATATCTAACAGATATTTTTGAAATAAACTATGTGATGTTATATCACATTAGAATCAATAGTAGTACATTATTGTAGACGTACAACGCAAAGTTTATAAGGCAAAGAAATATCTTTCATTTAGGCAATTATTTGTAGCCTAAAAGGGCCCAAACCCATAAATAAGCTTTTGAGCACACAAGCTCTTTTTAACTAGTGACAATACTAATTACTTTGAAGAAAGAGAAAAGGGAAGGAAGACAGAAGAAATGCATCTACTTCATAGCTGTATTGGTAGTATTTACATCAACAGTTCTTACCTCCAAAGCTCGTTCATTGTAAGGTTAAATCATGGAGCCATAAAAGACTGTTGGTGCATTTGAGGAGTGATAAGCTTGTAAGCAGAACACAAGTGGACTGAAATACTGTAGCACTAAGTGCTGATTTATATTTCAGCAAGCCGCAGTCACCTGCATAATATAGCCCAGTATCAGTCTGTATTTGAGTGCACAGAATGTCTGCTCTACTTGGCAGCTGAGCCACAAGCACCACTGTAGATACTAGCACAATAAATATACACCAGCTACAGTGTTCAGATACACTTTTTCTTCCTTCAGCCCTACCATAACCATGCCACAGTCTTAAGTATATGTAGTTCTGTGTTCATTCTTCACCCTGTATGCAACACAACACCCTGAGAGCGCGGTAGAGTTTGTAAACCCATCTTGAAGGCCGAAGAGATGAGGCTGAATGCATGCAAAATTTCCTGTTGTTTCCGGGGAAAAAAATCCAAAATTATAAACAGCGTTACTAAATATCTGAGTATCTGGAGTTAATCTAAATAATCTCCTTGTCTGCATAGCTGTAGTAATGTGAGGGGTTTTTTTTCCCCTGCTAACATGAAGAAAGTAGTACTTGAGCTGATCTACTACTTTGGAAAAATAAAGCATTAGGTGGAAAGATGCTGAGCATCAGTGCCTAGCAAAGAAAAGCTAAGTACACCAGCTTTGCTCTGACATTTCAGGAATCTTCCTTCTAGCCTTGACTGCCAGACTGATGCTGAAGAAAAGCTTAAACATCCTCCCTCCCTTGTGCATATTATTACATGCCTCTGGAACTTTTTTCTTCTGCTCTGTTATTCTCTTTCTTTGTAAGCTTTCACGAAAAGAAAGGGAATAGATTATAATAATATTGTAGCACCAATGCTATTGTGTTTGCAGTAGCCTTAGCCCAAGATAATGATTTGATTAGCATGGCTTTTTCACTTACTGGAATTAAAGATACGTGGATTTTCCTGAGATTCTGTGCTTTCAGGATGATTTTTTTTCACCTCCTTTTTTCAGCTGTATATCTTGCAGAGAAGTTGGAGGTTTAAAATTGGTATAGAGCCTTCAATAATAGCCAAGGGCAAAAAATTAGTGCAATGAGTCATCACAGTCACTCCTGCAGATATTTGTAATCTGTAAGTCCTATGCAACTCATTCGTTCGAAAGGGCCATTGTTCCTTAAATCACTGATGATAGTTCTTTGGAAGTTTAAGGGATTTTTTATTTCATGCAATGTAGTTGCTATAAATGAGATTTGACATTTCCAGTTTTGATATTTGAATGGCCTTGAGGAAGCTTTGAAAAAATTGACACAGAGAATATGAAACGCTTAATGAAAGTATTAAAGATAAACTAATAGTTCATAGTGCAGTGAAGACACAGAGTAATTTAGTGGATTCTAGCAATCCAAAGAATTTTAATGGTGTTGAATTACCTACAAAACACCCAAGTTTTATTACTTTAATTAAATTGTTGATAGGGATATATTTTCTGTAATATTAAAACTTTCCCCCCCCCTTTCTTTAATAGCTTCTTTAGCTTCTAGGTATATAACATTGAGAAGCTGTGTATGTTGGCAGTAGTAATAACAGATAAGCAGAGCTATTCCCTTTGCCAGAGGGAATACTGATCCCACTAAGTTTAGTGAGACTTTTGCTCTCAGCCTTAGGTCTTGAATCAAAAAATTCACCGTTAGTACAGCTAGTTTTGAGTTTTCTAACAGAAGCAATTATTGTGACTACTCGGGGATATCTGTATCATACTTGGAATATTACAGGTTGTTTAAAGGGAGGGAAAAGAGATGCTTTTCTGAGGCACTTCAGACATTACAAAAATGAAACAAAATCTTTTTGATATGGAGCTTTGTTTATTCCCCTTTATGCTTTGGTCCATTTTGCAGCAAGACTTGGTGTGGTTCATATGTTTGATGTTTGACTCATAAAATTTTTTAATCTTAGTAGAAGGAAAAGGTACAATTATTTTAGCTTATAAAGTAGTAGTAGTTTTGGTTGTCTCGGTTGCTAGAATTTCATTGTTGTCTGTTAAACTTTTATTTCTCTTAATTTTCTATTTCTAAATGTATATTCTTTAATGCAAAAAAGAATTATTTCTACAACACATGCTCCCTCAACAAAGCACCACCCAGAGAGAACGAGTCGTGTCCACCCTGATTTCATTCCCCTTGCTATATTATAAATTTTGTAGTTGATGGACTTTTGAAAATGGTTACTTTTTTGTTTTGAATATCTGAATGATTACCAGCTTATTTCTTTGCTTTGATATTTGTAAAGGAGATTTCAGTTTTGTGATCTTGAATTTCCATTTTGCAGATGATATTCATGCTGATAGTTTGTCACAGCAGTGTGTCTTCTAACACGGACAATAATAAATACAGCTTTGGCTTGAGGAAAGCTTTTTTTTTTTTTTTTTTTTTTTGTCTCTGCAGAAATACTGCAGCACAGTCCAGCTTGATTCTGGAATAGACTACAGGAAACGAGTCCTTCCTGCTGCTGGAAAACTTTACTACCTGTAAGTTTATCTATGATACAGTATTTGCCCTCTTTCTCCTTATTATTAGCCAATAATTTCCTAGTCAATGGGAAATGAAAAATGTATAGTAGAATTAGCAGGGTGTGACTTTTCCTTTCTTTGCCTTCTGGTCCATTTTGTTCAGCAAACCGCCTTCCATTATGCCTTGATATTAACTTCATTAAACTACATTTTCAGTATCCACACTAGCATCATTTATAATGTGTGACTGAATAAAAACTAATTAGATTTTTTGGGGAGGTGTGGTGTTTGGAGAACTGAAGTGACAGATGGTTAGAAAGTAATGAATATCCTCTTGTAAGAGATTGCACAATTCTCTTATAATAGAAGAACATCCTTATTGTATTTAAGTAATTAAGTATTTATAGAAATCCAATGACAAGGATTCATTTAATGTTGGGTGTTTCCAGTGCTATGGATTTAAAAAAAAAAAAAACCCAATACCCTCCTATTTTGACAGATTGCTTCTGTTTATCATGACAAAATTTCTTTAGCACTTTATTCTATATTTGCAAATAAATATATTTTAAAACATTCACAGTTGTGCTTACGGTTGCAGCATATATCTGCCTAATAGAAACATCCTCTTTTTTTTCATACTTTGAAACCTTTGCACTGCTGACATTTTTCTATCTCGTATTTGCTCTTACAGAATTGTTTAATCAACGACAACCTGAGCGAGGCAGACAAGGATAACTTAGAGAGATTTATAACCATTGTATCTTTCAACACAACATACAATACTGATTTAAAAGTCATGTTTCCCTGAGGAAAGGTGCAGTATTTGCATCAATGTGACAGATATTTGAAACAAAGTATGTCCCTGTCACTTTATTATAAAGTTAGAAATTGTAGTTGTTTGGAAGGAGGAGTACTGCTTGATAGAAATACAACAGGTAACTCTTTCTGCTTCTGGAAGGAAATGACAGCATTTTATATATGGAAAACAGGTCAAATGCAGATTCTGTATCTTCAAACAAAGTGTGACTGTGTGAACTCAAGAAAAGTAACTCCTATATTCTTGCCTGACTCCAAGTTTTGCGGTCTCTGCTCGGGAGTACTGTTCGAAGCCACCATTATTCTCTCAGTGTTGCTCAGCGTGGCTCTTGTTCCGATGTCTACATAGCTGTCCCTGCTTACGGCTCTGCTTATTGTGCCTGTTGCACCCTGAGATTTTCTGTGTGGAGAACACCTACCATATTCTTTTCTCACTGAAGAAATACAAACCACATGTGTGGTCTGTAGCAGGTAACAGGCTATGCATGGTGCCCATGGCATCAGCTCTTGGAGGAGAAGAAATATGAACAAGTCCAGGAGTAGTACCCAACTGGAGTATTTCGTGGTATTCTGCTGTAAAACTTGTGATCAAGTGAATGGCAGAGATTGGTGACAAGTCTGTCTCCTGTTCTGTCATTGGCAAGATGTTGGTTACCTCTAGAACTCATGCAAATCATTAGGAAGCAGTGGGGGGAAAAAAAATTTAAAAATCCCATAGCTGCCAATGGAAATAAGATACTTATTGTCCTTTCTTTTTCTGACGGAATCTCATTCATTCTTCTATTCAAACTTGTTCATTGGAGCTTTCAACCCTGCAGAACTACCTTAGTATGTAGGGAATTTTTTGTTTGTTTTAAAATTAGGTGCTATACAGTATTTTGCTACAGATTTTTGAAATTTAGTTAGCAGTCTTGTCCCCAAAAGAAAATGTTCTTGTCCAACATGTTTACATTCCCCTATTAATGGTTGTAGTATCATCATCACATTTTTTTAAAATCCTCTTGACGATTCATAATTTGTGTAGTCTTTTTTTCATTTAAAATATGCAACTGAGGGTTGCTTAAAGCTGTTTCATACTCATCTGAAAGCAATCAGTGCACACAATTACAGGACTCCTGATCAAAGCAACTTCCTTGGTCTTAGTCTCAGCTGTCTAGTTTCAAAACAAACTTTCTTGGCAATTAGGTGCCTATATCCACCTAGGCATCATATTCAACTGTTTCTTCTTGTAGCCTTTACATCAAACTTTTTGATAGTTACATGTATACATATGTGCATACTCTCTGATTATATATAGAGATATATATGCACTCTTTC